CTGCCTCAAAAGCTCTTCTCACCCTGAGCTCACTCAGTGTGCAGCGGCCTGCAGGCAGGGCCAGTCTGGCCCCTTCTCCTGCTGCCCGTCCTGCCTCCTGGCCCTGCAGCAGCACCTTGCCCAGTGATCTTTCATTTCTTCCTCTCCCTAGGCCCTTCACACAAGCAAGTTCTAGCTCCCGGCCTCACATTTTCAGGCACCATCTCAAGTTCAGCCCCTCAAAGCCTTAAACCTGGACCAACTCAGCCTCTCACCTGGTGTTTTTCCCTCTGGCCATATCCCTTCTACTCCAATGCGGGAATGATTTAAAACAGTTGATTTCCTTGCTTAAAAACTGCTGGCCAGGGGCAGTGGTTCACACCTGTAATCCTAGCACTTTGAGAGGTGGGCGGATCACAAGGTCAGGAGTTAGAGACCAGCCTGGCCAAAATAGAGAAACCCTGTCTCTACTAAAAATACAAAAATTAGCCGGGCGTGGTAGCAGGCGCCTGTAGTCCCAGCTACTGTGGAGGCTGAGGTAGGAGAAACACTTGAACCCAAGAGGCCAAGATTCTGCCACTGCACTTCAGCCTGGGCGACAGAGCAAGACTCTGTCTCCAAACAAAAAAACTTCTGCTGACTTTTAATACCTGTCCTTTCCTTTAATTTTTTTTAATAAGGCTCCAAATTCTGGCCTCAAGTAGTCCTCCCACGTCAGCCTCCTGAATTGCTGTGATTACAGGTGTGAGTCACTGCACCCGGCTTGCCCTTTTCAACTAAGTCCCCAATTCCTTGGTGTGGCCCCATGTCACTCACGTAGGGTAGCATCCTCATCACGGCTCCCCACAACCACCCCGTCATCAGGCTAATCCCTTAGCTCAGATTTCCCTTGACCCCTTCCTCAGGGTCTGCCCCTAAGGTCACCTGCTCTGGGGAGAGGTCTCTTCGGCAACGTGTTGCCCAACTCCTACAGTTCCAGCCACTGCCCAGTCTGCACTCTCAAAGGACTCAGGGGCACGCTGTAAAGCACCTATCCGTGCTGTGTGGGTTTGCCATGCTGGATGTGGGTTCCAGAGCAGGCTCTGGCACAATCGGAGCACTTGGCTCATGGCAGGTGGGCCTCTTATGTGTGGCGCATTGAACGAAGGTCCCTACTCTCTGCCAGAGCAAATACTCATCCATCCACCCGCCTGCCCGCCCAAGTGGGTGGCAGCAGCCACCCGGAAAAAGCCCGGCACTGCCCTTAGCCCACTGTTCACTCACTCTTTGCCTGGCCTCAAGTCTCTTGGTGACATTCCAGGGTGGGGGATCCCAGAGGAGGAATGAGATCATACAGAGCAAAAGTTTGGAAGTCCTCAGAGAAAGGCACCTCTATAAATGCAGCCGTGATTAACTCTGTTGGCATCCAGTGTGTTAATTGCCCCGCCAACGGCCTGGCTGGGCACCCACAGCTGGGTTCCCAGGGTTGAGAATCTGGCAAGGCTGGGTGGGACCAAGAGGGGCCAAGGCAGGTGGGCGTCCCCTTCCTCCCTGAGGCACATAACAGTCACAGCCTAGCCTCTCCCCTGCCTTCTTGCCACAAAGGCCTGAAGGTACCCTAACAGCTCAGTCCCAAGATACCACTATATTCAGTCCCCTTGTCTGTAGTGTTAGCGTCCTGAGGGCAGAGAAAGGAGGCCTTGACTTCAACCTGGAGGGAACAGGGCCAGGTGATCAGATGTCCAGCCTGCCTTCTGGGAGCTCAGAGCCTGTGGGGCGGTGAAACACACCAGAAGCTAGGATGTGAGCAGGGGGACCGGGGCTCATGGGTGTCAAGAATGGGGAATAGGCCCAGGGTACAGGGGGTTTTTTATGTTTTTAGAGACGAGATCTCCCTATGTTTCCCAGGCTGGCCTCAACTTTATGGGCTCAAGTGACCCTCTCACCTCAGCCTCCCAAGTGGCTGGGACTACACATGCATGTCGCCAGTCCCAGCTGTGGGGGTTTGGGTGCAGGAAGATTGCAGTGTAGATGGGGAGTTAGCAGGGAGTAGAAAGTGGGAGAGAAGGAAGTGCATGGTAGGTTCAGGTAGGAAGACCCAATGGGAATGTGAAGGGACCAGGATGCAGGGGAATTAGCTCCTTATTGCCCTGCTCTTGTAGCACAAAAGCCTTCTAGAACAGGGCCCCGCTGTAATCAGCAGACAGCTGAACATGGAGTTCTCAAAGCACTTGCTCACTTCAGCCTTAAGACTGGGATCCAGTGGGGCACGGTGGCTCACACCTGTAATCCTAGCACTTTGGGAGGCCAAGGAGGGTGGATCACCTGAGGTTGGGAGTTCAAGACCAGCCTGATCAACATGGAGAAACCCTGTCTCTACTAAAAATACAAAAGTTAGCTGGGCGTGATGATACATGCCTGTAATCCCAACTATTGGGGAGGCTGAGGCAGGAGAATTGCCTGAACTCAGGAGGCGGAGGTTGCTGTGAGCCAAGATTACGTCATTGCACTCCAGCCTGGGCAACAAGAGCAAAAATCCATCTCAAAAAAAAAAAAAAAAATGTTAATTAGCTGGACATGGTGGCACACACCAGTAGTCCGTTACTTGGGAGGCTGAGATGGGAAGATTGCTTGCTTGGAGATAGTTGCAGTGAGCCATGATCACACCACTGCACTGCACTCATTTGGTGACAAAGTGAGACCATGTCCTTTAAAATGAAAAGACTGGAATTCATGGGATCAGCCTCTTTGGGTAAAGGAGATTAATGCTTCCCCGCAGAGAAGTGCCGAGCCCATGCCCATGGAAGGCCTGTCTCCCAGCTGCCTAGTGCAGGCTGAGGCTGAGGCAGGAGGGGCTGGCAGTCAAACAGGGCTATT